CTTTTTACAAATTGGATCAAGGTTTTTCTTTCTCTCATCTACCTGTTTGCTTCTTGTTTTGCCCATTGACTATTAGAGGCATAAGACATGCATTCGTTTCAAGTTTTTAGTTGTCTAGAATTCTAAATTCATATTGATGTGGCAGGTGTTCATGAGTTGAATAGCATCAATTCATATTGTAAATTTATGTTTTTTATTGATAATACTTCTCACATTGAAGTATAAAAGATGAGAGATCCCCAGGAATCTCTGAGTTGATAGGCTTTTTATTTATTGATAACACTTCTGGCATTGGAAGGACATGAAACAAAGTGTCTAGAGTCACAACGGACATTGAAAGGAACATATGCATCGATTATTATCACAAACACCGTCTCCAGTATAAGTTCTAGTGCATCCCTCCGCACAATTTGAATCGGTACATGGGCTGTCTAAGACAACTTTGCAGATACGATCAGGTTGTTGTGCCTCAACCACAACATCAGCTGTTGCAAAGGTAAATGCATAAGTAAGGCGACCGTTACGTTTTTATCTAGATATTATATGCAATCAAACAGAAGTTTTTATATTGTTGATAATAGCATGAGGTAATACTGTCACATGAGTTGTTTAAGTTAGGTGACAATTACATTTTTATCTAGATATTATATGTAATCAAACATGAGTTTTTATATTGTTGATAATAGCATGAGGTAATACTATCACATGTGTTGTTAATCTTATGCTGAATTCTGTCCTCTCGTTAAGACACCCAAATATATATCGCACCTATTTTAGAAACCATGAATTAGAATCACTTTTTGTGGAGTTTGATGTGGTAGGAGAAAGCTAGGAGAAAATGCAATTTTATTTTTATTTTTGCACCTTGATATGATGAAGCCAAATCTCAAGAGAAAAAAAAAAAGGTAGGTTGGTTGAAGCCAAAGAACCTGTACACAAAAATTGTACCTTTTTTTTTCTTACCCAATGCATATTGATGATGAGTTGGTTTAATCTTTTACTATGACTTGGTATTGACTATTGAGAATTAATTAAAATTACCAACATGATTAACCAACCCATGAATACCTCAAAGAGTATGGTTGTTTAGATATTTATTTAGCATGAACTAAAGACTTTTGTTTAGACCATCATATCAAATGCCCTCTTAATAACAATTCAAGAAAAGAAAATCATATTGAAATAAGAACTCTATTTTGACCCCACTTTTCTCATAAAATATGGTTCAATCAAAATCTATAATACCTGACTTGTCGGAATTTTATGATTTTTTATTTGTCAAAGTTGGCTTGCAAATGAGAGCAAATTAGAGAAGAAAAGACATGCATGTTCGAGCTTACTTGTAAAAAGGACGAGAAGAAGGATAACACACGCGATCTTCGCCCCCATGATAAAGAAGGTTAGAAGGTTCCTGTTCACCAAATTATACATTTGATGGTGACTACAATGTGAAGTTTATATAGAGGAGCTTCATCACCCGTATCAATTGAATTCATCCCCCTTGATAAATAAGATTTGGTAGTGGATGCCATATTTTCTAGCACATTAAGGGGGTTTATCAACACTATACAATTGAAACATTTATAATTTTCAGGTATCAAATCATGGAAACACCCAAGAATTCCATGGATCAATTAAACAAACTACAATGTATATATATATGTGCATATACCTATGCATGGTTCGTCATACCGACCCATACCATCTGGTATGGGCGATATGTACTGGATCAATAGGGGATCGATATGCATACTATCTTGTATTGTGCGGTACTATAACATGACCCCATATCGGGCGATACGAGATATGTACCAGGTAGTAACGATCGAAATCCAATCGTTACCAACCTATACCGATCGGTAGCAATAAGATTTCAACCATTACAAATCAAGGGCTGATATCGTTCTATTTCAAATGGTCAAATTAATCGTTTGAATCATAGTAAAGAGATTTTAAACCCTTTTCTCCCCTCTTTTTTAACTCATATCACTCTCTCAATCTCTTTAGCTCTCTAAAACTCATTTTCACTTGCATCTCTCTCTCATTCCTATATTTTCACTCTCTTAAACTCAACAAGGCTACAATTTATGGATTGAATCAAATTTAAAACGATTAAGAGGAAGATTCTCGGTTAGAATGTGGTGGAAGGAGCCGGACAAAATCAAGTCAAATTGCTCGAGGAACTATAGACACCAAACTATCATAATCATCTGCCCAACATGCAAAGGCAAAGGCAAAGTGGAAGGCAGTAGCATCAATTGCACCGTTATAATCGAGTCGAGCGACGAAACACCTTCTAAATCGCATTTAACAACCTGCTCAGTCTAAAGAAATGACAACGACGTGAACAGTAGTGCCTTAACCGATGATGGCGACGACGTTGGGGAGTCGATGGTCCTATCTCCATAATTTGAGGGTGGTGCATGGACCGAGAAGCAGTATTTTACATATGCTACCTAAGATTCATATCATGGAACTCGACGAGATATTGGTCAAGTTTATATATGGGAAGGGAAGGTAGTGGATGATTTTAAGCAGATGCAACAAAACCTACACCACGTAAATACAAAACGAAGCTCATTGTATTCACAACCGTCGTATAATGGAGAATCTTATGCCCAACCACAATACGGTGGTAGTTGGTCATACTTCTCAAAGTAGTAGTGCATTGATCGATCTTATGATACAGAACAACAGATCAATGGCAAAAGTATAAGTTTTGGCATTCTTCATGCTCCGCACTAATACATGTCATAATCGTACTTGTCTTTGGAGCCACCTCAGACACGTGTGATTCATGACGATCAGACTACGACTATCACTACATTGATGCACCAATGACATACGGTGTATCAGTATATTATGTCGTGGGATCAATTTCAGGATTGGGTTTGATAAACAAATCAAATTGATATACAGTTACATAGGATCGAGAACCTCGATCCACTGCTCGTGGAGTCTCATTGTTGTTTCTTTGTGGTAGAATCAAATATATTAATCGATCGATTACTTGATTCATTTGAATCTTAAAGTTTAAGTTGCAAAAATAAAATAAAAATTTAAATTATTTTTTTTGTAAATAATTTAGTATTAATAAAAGGGTGGTCCGGAACATATCATAAAGCTATTTCTCAAAACCTGAAAAAGATATGCCACTACTCTTTTCTAATTTAGATTATTTTTATAAAAATTATACTAAAATTATATTTATTTCTAACGATGAAAATCCTAATCTAATTTTTTTCTATTTTTCAAGTATTTTTGGAGTTATTTTTTATGGTTTTTGGGTGTACTGTCGTTATGCCCTTACGTACCATCGGTACACCTTAGTACGTACCGTATTGATGTTTGGTCGGTACACTAGTACAAACTGAGACTGTAAACCTTATATATATATATATGTATATATATATATATATGTATATATATATATATATTTATATGTATTTGTATATATTTATATGTATTTGTATATGTATATGTTTATGTATTTATATATACGTATACATATATATACACATACATATACATATACATATATATACATATACAAATACATATAAATATTTATAAATACATATATATATATATATATATACATTTACATATTTATATTTATATATGACTTCAGTACACTGAACCTAGTGGATGCATCTAGAAAGATTCGTATCAATAGATTTATCTTTATATATATATGTATATATATATATGTATGTATGTATATATATATTTATATTTATATTTATATTTATATATGTATATATATATGACTTCGGTACAATGAACCTAGTTGATGTATCTAGAAAGATTCGTATCAATAGATTTATATATATATATATATATATATATATATATATATATATGTGTGTGTGTGTGTGTGTGTGTGTGTGTATGTGTATATATGTATATGTATATATATATGTATATATATATATACACATATCACGACTTCAGTACAGTGAACCATAGTGGATGCATCTTGAAAGATTCGTATCAATAGATTCATCTTTGTCGAAATTCGACCGTTACCGACTTGTACCAATCAGTAATAGTCGGATTTTGACCGTTGCGGATAAGGGCTTATATCGCCCTATTTCAAACAATCAAATTGACCATTTGAATCATAGGAAAGAGATTTTAAACCCTTTCCTCCCTCATCTTTCAACTCATATCACTCAATCTTTTTAGCTTTTTAAAAGATATGTCACTACTCTTTCCTAATTTAGATTATTTTTGCTAAAATTATACTAAATTTATATTATTTCTAACTTAAAAACGCTAATCAAATTATTATTATTATTTTTCAAGTATTTTTGGAGCTATTTTTGATGGTTTTGGGTATACTATCAGTATGCCCTTGTGTAACATCGGTACGTCTTGGTACGTACCGTATGTCGATACACTGGTACAGACCAAGATTGCATATCTTGTATATATGTATATATATATGTATATATATGTATATACATATATATATATATGTATATATATACATATCCATATATGTATGTATATGTATACATATCCATATATGTATATATATATATATATATGTATATATATATATATATATACATATATATATATATATACATATATATATATATATATACACGACATCGGTACAGTGAACCTAGTGGATGAATGTGGAAAGATTCGTATCAATAAATTCATCTTTGTCGAAATCTGATCGTTACCAACTTGTGCCGATAAGTAATAATCGAGTTTTGACCGTTACGGATCAAGGGCTGAGATCGTCCTATTTAAAATGGTCAATTTATAGGAAAGGGATTTTAAACCCTTTCCTCCCCCCTCTTTTAACTCATATCACTCTCTCAATCTCTTCAGCTCTTTAAAACTCATTTTCATTCGTATCTCTCTCTCATTCTCACATTTTCATTCTCCTACATTCAACAAGGCTACGATTTATGGATTGGATTAAATTTGGGATGATTAAGAAGAAGATCCCTCTCGGTTAGAATGTGGCGAAAAAAGTCGGACAACATCGAGTCAAATTATTGAAACTGGTATTGATTAGGTATGCCGATGTTTGTGTTCGATGCTTGATGCATGGACCGCAAAACAGTATTTTACACGTCGTCTAAGATTTAAATCATGGAATTCGATGAGGTATTGATTAAGTTTATACATGAAAGGGGGAGAGGAAGTTAGTGGATGATTTTGAGCAGATGCGACAGAACTTACACTATGCAGATACAAAGCGAAACTTATCATATTCATAATCGTCGTATCATTGAGAATCTTTTGGCCAACAACATTATGGTGATGGTCATGCTTCACCGAGCAATTGTACGTTGTTCGATCTTTTGATACAAAACAACAAATCAATAGCAAAAGTAGAAGTTTTGACATTCTTCATACTCCCCACTAATACATGTCATAATCGTACTTGCCTCAGGAGCCACCTCAGACACGTGTGATTCATGGCGATCAGACTACGACCATCACTATATTGATGCACCATGGCATACGGTGTATTAGTATATTATGTCGTGAGATCAATTTTAGGATTGGGTCTAACAAATATATCAAATTGATATACAGATACATAGGATCGAGGACCTTGGTCCATTTCCTGTGGAGTCTCTTTTTCTTCTCTTGTGGTAGAACC